GCTTTGTCTCTGAAAATGTATTATACGTGAAAAGACAAACCAACCTCATAATGCAAATCTATTAAACCTGGTCTTAATAATTTTTTGTATGAAATAACAGATTTTAATAAATTTGACAATATGAATAAAAGGCTAAATACAAGGCTGTACAATAAATGCATGATATCTATTGTTATTAAGAATAGAATTAAGTACTGTTTAAATTTCATATTATATAACTACTGTCTGTAAGCATGGATTCAAATGATATCAAACGACATTATAATTAATAGATTTAGAATTAAAAATGCCTTCCGTAGCACTTTCTTGTTGAAGGCAGCTCTTAGCACAGGTGTGCAAATCCAATGATAAATTTTTTAACAAAATTCTATACCATGAATTCAGTAAACTCACTAACAGTTACTAAAACCTTATATTCTCTAATATATTTAATTCTAAATATTTTATTTCTCTATGTAAAGGTTATTTTTTTTCTAAATTTGAAACATATATATTGAGGCTTTTTTCCCAAACCTTTGGTTTATTTCTGCCTGAAGAAATATCACAATGAGATATCATCTCACACCAGTTAGAATGACAATCATTAAAAAGCCAGGAAACAACAGATGCTGGAAAGGATATAGAGAAATAGCAACGCTTTTACACTGTTGGTGGAGTGTAAATTAGTTCAACCACTGTGGAAGACAGTGTGGCGATTCCTCAAGGATCTAAAACCAGAAATACCATTTGACCCATTACTAGGTATATACTCAAAAAATTATAAATCATTCTACTATAAAGACACATGCACAAGTATGTTTACTGCAGCAGTATTCACAATAGCAAAGACTTGGAACAATCCCAAATGCCCAACAATTATAGACTGCATAAAGAAAATGTGGCACATATACACTACAGAATACTATGCAGTCATAAAAAAGGATGAGTTCATGCCCTTCACAGGGACATAGATGAAGCTGGAAACCATAGTTCATAGCAAACTAACACAGGAACAGAAAACCAAATACCACATGTTCTCACTCATAAGTGGGAGTTGAACTATGAGAACACATGGACACAGGGAGGGGAATATCACACACTGGGGCCTGTTGGGGGTTGGGCGCTAGGGGAGGGATAGCATTAGCAGAAATATTTAATGTAGATGACGGGTTGATGGGTTCAGCAAACCACCATGGCACATGTATACCTATGTAACAAACCTGGACGTTCTGCACATGTATACCAGAACTTAAAGTATAATAATAAAAAGAAAGAATTAAAAAAAGAAATACAAGTGTTGCACACACAGTCAGAATGTCTTAGGTTCATATATTGGTTCCTCTCTTTACTTTCTGTGTGACCTTAGACACACTACCTCTGAGTCTCAGCTTCACTTGTGTTATAGGCTTCCTTGGAATAAAAACTATGATAACGTACGTAAAGAACTAAGAAGAACATTTAGCACACAGAGGTAATTAAAGCTACTGCTACTAAAGAAAAAAAATTAAAATTATTCCATCATTTTACAAACATGGAATATAACTCTTTGTGTATACCTCTTGGATATAACTTGATTTCATTCCTGAAAAAAGCTGTCCTCAAATATTTACGATCTTATAAAGTAATGTTCCTTAAATTTCAGATAGAAATCTACATCACTCATACGATTGCTTACTTTGTATTTTCCAGGATCATCCCTATTTTTCCTCTATCTTTACCTATAACAATATTCATATGTGCTACTTAGATGTAGTACATATGTTACTATATACATATATTACATATATTACATTGAGTAATATATGTACATCTGTTACACTGAGGGCCTAACAGAAGCTTACAATTACCAAAACCTTCTAAAATGCATGAACAAATGTAAGTATTCCACGCCAATTAACACAAATAGGTTTGTTCTATGCCTCTGTCATAAACATCTTTAAAAGAGATAACTGTAACTGATGATAGGACAAGTGATTAATGCATGCTATTATCTCAAACAGGTATTATCATGTTATATGTCCTAGAAAGACTGAGCAAAGAAATTTCCTTCTCTTTTAGAAGTTAAGATAGAACAAGGAATAACTTCTGCACACCAGAGAAAATTATGTACATCTCAAAACTAAAATTTGCTCTTTAACAGTCTCTAAACTTTCTACGAGAAAACTTTTCTTTTTCTACCTATGCAAATAAGTAGACAAAATGTTTGTTCCTATAAATATGATACCAAACTTATTTATAATATTATATATTGCAAAGGTGTATTTTTTAAAATATTTGATTTAAAATCATTGAAAAATTTACCTATTTTAAAATAGAATTATTGATGTCAGAATTCTGTCAAAGCCAATACTTTCAAATCATTGCCAATATTTCTTGTGGAATTTAAGCTTCTCCGTTTAGGGTGACAGATAAGTGTGGCTTAAAGACCCATCATATTAGTAAACAATATTGTGAAACTATATTTGGCACTTATGACATAACCCATTTCCAACAATTAGGGGGAAAAACTGATCTTGCCAATAACCACTTTTCCAGCAAAGACTTTTCACTGGGGTTTGGGAAGGTCAATTCATATGCTGTCATGATTTACATATGCATCCACAGACAGACAAAGTCTTAAGATATAATTTTAAAACTGCATGTCAAGTGAAATTTTCTAATTAAATACATTTCTCTTCTCAGTAAAGGATAAGCTTGGATAAATGCTTTGAATCCTTGTCCAACAGGTATCGCAAAGAGGTGGGCAACATTTTAACCATGGACTATGGATAAGACAGAGAGAAACATTTCAATGAAGAGGTGTTGGTTGTTCAGCTTACTTTTCTTCCAAAAATATATGAAGGATGGGAGCCAGGAAAGCAATATCCCATACTGCAAGGCAAGAGGCCCCTCTGACATCACTGTCAGATGCAAAAAGTATAAAGAACATATGTGTGAATATATTAACCTCATAAGGTTCTTTTTCATAAAATAAAAATAATATTAATAAAAATATAGTAGTATAACACTATTTAGATGAAGAGGACTTGAGCCTTTGTAGGAGTACCTAGATATGTATTTTCATTCAAGAAAAGAAACAGATACAAATTCAAATCAGTTCAGCAAAGAAGATGGTCAGATACATGGTGAAACAGCACACAGAAGAGAGTAGGTAGAAGGAACAGTGCACTGGAGCAGGTATGCTTCATGTGAAAGAATTCCAGGTGACAAAGAGAAAATTGCACACTGTGCAAGCCAACACAAAACATATCTGCTGACCTAATTCAGACCACAGGCCGCTAGATTGGGATCCCAGTATTAAAGCCTACGAGGTTAAACACAACGGCAACGTATGAACAAAAAATTAAAGCAGAGCTTATCCTGTCTGCTTTCCCTTAAATATCTAGATTTTTCTTCTTTATTTTTAGTTAAATTTTATTTTAAAGTATCTGTGCCTTTAGACTTAGCCAATACAAAAGATTCAGGTAACCAGAGCATAAATACATATTTTAAAAGTTTATAGATTAGCCTGATGCTGTCAATATCACACAGCATTCACTAAACTCTAGCAGCAAGCATCTTATTTTTCCTAGGATCAGTCATCTTCCTAGAGAGAACTGGTCTGCCTCCATTCCATTCCAACTCTGGAAGTGCTGTCAATGGAAGTGACTCATTGCCCTTCCCACATCACTCAGTGTTTCAACCAAGAGAGGGCACAGGACTGCAGGAGGCTCAGTCCAACAACTTTTTCCGGGATTAATATAGACACTGAGACAAAACAGTTCTCTTTCCTTCTGAGATTGAGAAGAATAAGGATGCTATCTATATTCACAAAGGCACAGGAGTCATCTTTCCCGTTGTTATAGAGTACCACAGAAAATGGAGCAAATCCAGAAGAAACCAGAGTCACAAAATGGAGAAACATTCCTGAAACACAATCAGGCACTAGATCTAACTAGGCCTGCATCTAGTCAATCCAGGAATTTCCAGTTAGGGGAGTTTATACATTCTCTGGTGCGTTCAGGCAAGCTTAAACTGGATTTCTGTTACTTATAAACAAAATGTTCTCATAAATATAAGAGACAAAGAAGATATGTGAGTTTGTTTTGCATTTATCTACTCACATCTCATTGCACCAGCTAGGACTGTCCACTCAAAGAACAAAACCAGTTTTTCCCCTAGGGATTTTTCTAACCCAACATATAATAATATCCTAAATGATCCCAACCTCACTAATAATCATCAGTGTCTATGAAGAGGAAAACAAAAAAGAACCATGACCTTACTCACTCACTTTTCTGGTGTAGTGCATATTCTATACATACTTTGATATGGCAATTTCTTTTAATGGAAGACAAAATCTATCATTAATAATCAAGGCTGGGCACAGAAGTTCACACCTATAATCTCAGCACTTTGCGGAGTAAGGCAAGAGAATTGCTTCAGGCCAGGAGTTAGGCACCAGTCTGGGCAATATAGTGAGTCCCCATCTCTACAAAAAAATTTAAAAATTAGCCATGCATGGTGACAAGCACCTGCAGTCTTAGCTCTTTGGGAGGCTGAGGCAGAAGGATGGCTTGAGCTCAGGAGTTTGAGGCTGCAGCAAGCTATGACAGTGCCTCTGAACTCTAGTCCAGGCCACAGAGTGAAATACTGTCTCAAAAAATTAATAATGCTAATGATCAATGCATGATTTACATAACTCTCATACGTAACAGGCTTATTTTATGAACTCATCTAAGTATTAATGGAACAAACATTTTAAGAACTAAAAAATATTTAAACCAATGTTTATGTAACATGGCATACCGCTTCCAAAAAATTCAGGCATAACACATAAGTACACATGAATATTGATGATGTGGTCCAAAACAAAGAAATCACAACCACCATCCACCTAATAGTCTCAGAGGCATGATTAACAAAAAGACCATTTCAGTACAATAGCTATCATCATCTCCATTTCCAGCAGTTAAATCAATAGTCCCTCTTACTGCAGGTTTCAAAGATGAACCAAACCAGAGAAAGCAAGGCATACTCACAAATTATAAAGCATGTCAGCCATGTTGCTGCGGTAATACAAAGCATTTCTATAGGCGCTTTCAGCTTCAGAAATTTTGCTCTGACTCTTCAGAACATTTCCAAGGTTACCCCATGCTGCCAAGAAGAAAAAGAAATTCTCAGACTGAGCATCAATCCAATTATACATGACATAATATCAGGCCATCAGGAAGTACCACAGGGAGAGAAAACCATCATAAAACATTTTTAAGAAGGAAAATTTATTTCCTTTATACTCTAACATTTCATCAAGCCAGGAGATTAAATATAATCAAAGCCTTAAAAAATTAAAGTAATTATTATGTCTCAAAGCAGATATACATATACAGTTCATCATAAGGCCAAGAACAATGTTATCTTAAGATCACCTACAAAGGCTTCATGCTCTTCCAGATTTCAGTAGGGGTCTTCATGGTCTGAAATTATTGTATACTTACTGGGCCAGAAACTGCAAGAAATGATCTTAAAATAAACAAATATTTCATTCAAGTATGAAAGAACTGATAAATGGCATAGAAGATCTGGAGATGAAAAGCAAAAAAACTAAACAAGATCAAAGCTATAAAGAAGCTTACCAGGCATCAGAATACATCAATAAAACATTATAGATATAATGTTCTTTTGTACTCTTTCTGCTTATGAGCTCACTTCCCTGAAAATAGCTATTTCTACACTTAATCATGTTGAAAATTAAATATATTTTCTACGTACCCTCTTTGTTCTCCACAAATAATAGTAATTTTTCAACATTAAAAATAACAAAAGGCACAGCACCAATAATTGCCCCCACAGTACGGCTCTCCAATGAACTTTGCCCTCAAACTTGGCTGCTTCTCTTGCCTTCTTACTTCCCTACAAGGAGATGGGGTATTGAGTCCTGAAAGCAGAGTCCGCCAGCAAATGATAGAGATGAGAAGAAGGGTCATGTGTGTTGATATATTTATTTGGGTGACTACTGACTGTACCTGAAAAATGAAAGGGTTTTGAGTTTTTAATTTTAATGCAAAAAAGTACAGAATCTTTCAATCTCGATTTGCCTGTGTGCCTCTAAGAAATTTAAAACTCCTGTGCTTCAGGTTACTTTATCCGTAAACTGGGAAAATAGTGTCTCATCTGTTTCATGATGAAGATGAAGTGTGTTAATATACACAAGCTGTTTAAGGCAGTGTCTGAGGCTGGGCACGATGGCTTGCACCTGTACTAGCACTTGGGGAGGCCGATGAGGCGAGCGGATTGTTTGAGCTCAGGAAGAGTTTGAGACCAGTCGGGGCAACATGGTGAAACCCCGTCTCAACAAAAAATACAGAAATTAGCCTGGCGTGTTAGCACATGCCTGCAGTCCCAGCTACTTGGGAGGCTGAGATGTAATGATTGCTTGAGCCCACAGAGTCGAGGCTACAGTGAGTCATGATCACGCCACTGCACTCAAGCCTGGACGACAGAGTGAGACCCTCTCTCAAAAAAATAAAACAAAACAAAATAAAAAAAACAAAGACAGTGCCTGAAACATGGTAAACACTCAATAAATATCGCTATTATCATTAATATTATTGTAGTTGATACTCTTTACAATTTATAGTTAAGCATTTCTTACAAAAATAACATTAAATACAATGCACTTTATGACCTTATGTTATCTACAGAGAATACTAATCCTTCATGTTTGCAACGTCATATACCTTCTTTGCTTCCAGTGGAAAACAGGCGAAAGGCACTGAACTCACAATTATGCAACAGCTAATAGTGCCATGTACCATGCCACACAATTGACATATATCATCTCACCGAGCTCTCAACACAGTTCTTTACATAAGTGCCCATTCCCCAGAAGAGGAGACAGAGGCACTAAAGAATTTATTTGTTTGTTTGTTTATTTATTTATTTATTTTTGAGATGGAGTCTTGCTCATCGCCCAGGCTGGAGTACAGTGGCACGATCTCGGCTCACTGCAACCTCTTCCTCCCTGGTTCATGCCATTCTCCTGCCTCAGCCTCCCGAGTTGCTGGGACTACAGGCGCCGCCACCACACCCAGCTAATTTTTTTGTATTTTAAGTAGAGACGGTGTTTCACCATGTTAGCCAGGATGGTCTCAATCTCCTGACCTCGTGATCCGCCCTCCTCAGCCTCCTACAGTGCTGGGATTACAGGAGTGAGCCACCATGCTTGGAGGCACTAAAGAATTTGTAAAGTTAATACTGAAGTGTTAGAGCAAAAACGCTAATCCGACACTGGCTGTTTCCAAACTTTTTCTCTCCTCGACCTAACATTTTCATACCACATTTCATCTTTCACTGCAAGCCAACATTCACAGAGGCCTCGGCATTATGAGTCCATAGAAAATTGTATCCTTTAAATTAAAAGACAAAATAGTGTAAAGTATTGTCAAATTAAACTAGTAAATGAAAAGAAAATAAAAAGCAGGAAAACAGTAAAATAAATTATAATTATCTTTAAACATAATAGGCATAATACCATACGTATTCTATACCACAAATTAATAAGATATGTCTCTATGGAAATTTTTAATAATTAGGCAATTTTAAAACCCCCATTCCTCCCAAAGTTCTGCTCTGATTGTGTGATTAGTAAAAGAGAATATATTTACATTGGAATCTCTCTGAGAAATGAATTCAAATGTTAATTGAAGCATCAGGAAATCCTCATTATAATGGTATCCCATTTTGATAGTAGTCCTAGAACATAGATGATTAAAAAAACTAATACAAAGACATACCTTTGAATATTTTAAGACATACTTCCAGCGAAAGAAATTGATTTCTTTAGATACTTACATCTCAAATAAATAATAAACTAATAAGTGCTTCTCCTGTTGACAACAGACATATACAGGGATATCATGGAGATGTTGTGGGTGTAGGTTCAGACCACCAAAATAAAGTGAGTATAACAATGAAGTGAGTCACATATTTTTTTTTGGTTTTCTAGTGCATATAAAAGTTATATTTACACAATAATATTGTCTAATAAGTGTGCAATAGCATGATGTCTAAAAAAACAATGACACACCTTAATTAAAAAATACTTTATTGCTAAAAAATGCTAACAATAATCTGAGCCCTTGGTGAATCTTAATCTTTGGGCTGGTGGAGGGTCTTGCCTTAACACTGATGGCTGCTGACTGGTAAGGGTGATGGTTGCTGAAGGCTGGAGTAGCTGTGACGATTTCTTAAACTAAGACAAAATAAAGTCTAGCATATCAATTAACTCTTCCTTTCATGAAAGACTTCTCTGTAGCAGGTGATGCTATTTGATAGCATTTTTATCCACAATAGAACTTTCAGAGTTAGTCTCAATCCTTTCAAACCCTGCAACTGCTTTATCAACTAAGATTACATAATATTCTAAGTGCTTTGTTGTCATTTCAGCAATGTTCACAGCACGGTCACCAGGAGTAGACTGCACGTCAAGAAACCACTTTCTTTGCTCATCCATAAGAAGCAACTCCTCATCTGTAAATATGTTATCATGAGATTGTAGCAATTCAGTCACATCTTTAGGCCCAGTTCTAATTCCACTTTTCTTGCTCTCTCCATGACCTCTGCAGTTCCTTCCTCCACTGCAGTCTTGAGCCCCTCAAAGGTATCTGCAAGGCCTGGAATCAGCTTCTTCCAAATTCCTCCTAATGGTGATATTCTGACCTCATTCCATGAATCACAAATGTTCTGAATGGCATCTAGAATGGCAAATCCTTTCCAGAAGTTTTCCATTTACTTTACCCAGACCCATCCAGGGAATCACTGTCTAAGGAAGCTACAACCTTACGAAAAGTTACTTCTTACATTAGAACACTTGAAAGTCAAAATAATTCCTTGATCCATGGGCTATGGAACAAATACTGTGTCACTATGCATGAAAACAGCATTAATCTCCTTGTGCATCTCTATCAGAGTTCTTGGGTGACCAGGTGCACTGGCAATGAGCAAGAATCTTTTCAAAGAATTTCTTTCTGAGCAGTAGGACTCAACATTGAGCTTAATACATTCAGTAAGCCATGCTGTAAACAAATGTGTTGTCATCTAGGAAATACACTTCCACTTATAGAGCAGAAGCAGAATAGATTTAGCATCATTCATAAGGACCCTAGGATTTTTTGAATGTTAATTGACCAATGGCTTCCACTTAAGGTTAACAGTTGTATTAGCCCACAAAAAATAACAGTCAGCCTGTCCTTTGAAAATATGAAGCCAGGCACTAACATCTAGCTATGAAAGTCTTATATGGTATATTCTTCCAATAGAAATCTGTTTTATATACACTGAAAACCTATTGTTTAGTTGTAGCCACATTAATCCATTATCTTAGCTATATTTTCTGCACAATTTACTGCTTTTCCATCAGTATTTACCGCTTCACCTTGTACTTACATGATATGGAGCTGGCTTCTTTCCTTCAACCTAATGAACCAATCTCTGTTAGTTTCAAACTTTTCTGCCACAGCTTCCTCACTTCTCTCAGCCTTCATATAATTGAAGAGAGTTAAGGACCTTGTTCTGGATTAGATTTTGGCCTAATGGAATGATATGGCTGGTTTGATCTTTTATCCAGGCCAATAAAACTTTCCACCAGCCAGACACGGTGGCTAACACCTGTAATCCCAGCACTTTGGGAGGCCGAGGCGGGCGGATCACGAGGTCAGGAGATTGAGACCATCCTGACTAACATGGTGAAACCCCGCCTCTACTAAAAATACAAAAAAATTAGCCAGGTGTGGTGGCGGGTGCCTGTAGTCCCAGCTACTGGGGAGGCTGAGGCAGGAGAATGGCGTGAACCTGGGAGGCTGAGCTTGCAGTGAGCAGAGATGGAGCCACTGCACTCCAGACTGGGCAGCAGAGCAAGACTCCGTCTCAAAATAAATAAATAAATAAATAAATAAATAAATAAATAAAATGAAAATTAGCCTAATTTCATTATTTTTATGTCTCAAAGAATAGGGTTGCCCATGGAAAGGGAGAGAAATTAGGGCAGGGCTGATCAATGAAACAGAACATGTAAAACATTTATTAAGTATACCATTTTATATGGGCACAGTCACAATATTAACAACATATATAACAGATAACCATAACAGATATAA